TCTTTGACAGGTGAATAGAATACATACAAGTGGTGAACAAGAAAATCTCACCCTATCTACTTCGAATGAGACTTGAGGGTTCACTCACTTATTTACAAATCCTTAAGGAAAAGCTTGATTTAAATTAACCCTTAGTATTTAGAGTTGCACATTCTGCCTCGATGAGATAGGAAGTTTGTAATGTCTGGTTGTTCTGCCAGTCATAAAAAAATACTTAAAAACTTAATGATCGGTAGATAAAAGCCTGTGTAAACTGTTGAACGATTGAGGGTTTATCGAAACAGTGATGACAAATCACAATATCTCTGCATTTATATTGAATAATTTTATATTTTAATATTCATGGCAATTTGGGAGTAATAAAATTAAAATACTCCTTATGACATTATAGCATGGCAATTATGAAATATTATCGGCAATATTTCTATGCTTTAGTCATACGATTCAAAAAACCAAAAATAATGGAATGATATAATACCATCTGGTTTTAGCAAATCCACCCTCTATTAGAGTTTGCACATGTTAATTTAACATGCTGGGATAGTTTTAAAGTAAAAATAAAACTATACTTATGCAAAATAAAAACCATAAGGGCCGCTTTTGTGAAGAAACTGATAGTAAACAGTAAGGTTTGCGAATTTTACTCAAAAGACTCTTGATTTAAGCCTGATCTATTCCTACACTACTTTTTAATTTTTGGTATATCCAAATATTAATAAATATTAAAGTATTTTTGAATAATCTAGATTTATTGATATACAAATTCAGCTACCAAAAGCATAACTCCATCGTTAATTAACATGTGCATAGTAATATTTGGTTAAACCTTGTTTCCTAAAAATTTTAGGAAATACCCAGTCCCATCTTCTCTCTCGAAATAGTCATGATAACTATCAGAAGCAGACTTTTGACTTGATACTTTCCAACAAGTTTCACCGGCATCGTGATTAAGAAGTGTTGGCTCTAAAACCAAGCAACATCACGTATAAGAGACAAAGGCCCTCTTCTCGACCAATCTGTTGTTCAAACGTTACAATATTTCTCCTTACTCCTAGTTCTTGTTCCTTGTGCTTTATCCTCATCCCTCCATCCCACTTCAACGGTTGAGTAGTGCAGCTTCATGCCTTTCTATGAAATGCTGATTACGAAGCCGGCGAAATGCCTGGGCAGGTACCAAGCCAATGGCTCAATGCTGAAAATAACCATGACTACTATAGCAGAGGATGCAGGACTAGGAATGTTATATTATGGCTTTGCCACTTATTTGGGAAAAGGAGGTAAAAACAACTCTCCACAGCTAAAGTAGACTTAGAGGAGACTTAATATCACATCACAATATTCTCAAAAGCTAAACTTCTAAAACCAAACATGTCCATTGCTACATTTATTAGCATCCATAATCATGATATTTTTAAATCTAGGCCTAAAATATGTCAGGATATTCCAAATTTATTATAGATTGGTTAAAAATTCCTTTATCAGCATAATCTTGCTTATTCATGGAATTTACTAGGTCATTTTAAATTTACTCATAAAACTTTCTAACACATAATTAAGATGATTTTAAATAATTGAGTTTTATTTAAATATATTACTAATACATTACTGCTCCATTTAAAATTTGTGGCAACCAAATTATAAGCAATTCCAATTTTATGCAAACAAGATATTGAAAATTTTGTGTGTGATAAAATACATCCCAACAAATTTTTAAATCATTAAAGCACCATAGACTTAATGCACTTGCCTGATATTCGATTATCTATAATGCATATTTGATCCTATCTATTTTTGTAATAACAAAACCTTATAATATTCAACTATTCAAACTATTATAAGAATTTGTTTAATTTATTCTATGGTTAGAAATATTTATTTCATATAGCCTATTAATCATAAATTCATAATCAAATAATCTATAACGGCTTATATAGATCATACTCGTTCTCAAGTGATCCCCCCAGCACATTTTTAGTGAGTACACTTTTATTTGTTAATCTTAAGTTATATTCGTATGT